TAATTTTTTTTAAATTTATTAGGGGGTTTGAGAAAGATTAACCCAAAATGTATATGAGTTGTTTTAGTTTTTAGCAGTTTGGAGCAAATTGCTAAGTTATTAAATAATATTTTTGGTGTTTTGATTAAATATAAAATGTTAAACAGACGAATTTATTAAAATTTTGACGAATTTGCCAAATAATCAGATTACAACAACAACAACAACAACAACAACAACAATAATAATAATAATAATCCAAAAAAAAACTATATACAAAATAAAATTAAAATTAACCAAAAAAAAAAAGAAGACAAAGGCGAGCCACCGGCACCCTTTGTAAATGATGTGGGATCATTTTGATCCCACATTTAAAATGTTTGAAAAGAGAGAGCTCATCTATATAAGAGGAACAATGAGACTCTTATAAACATAATTGCTTGCCCATCAATGTGGTCAAGTATTGAGAAGTCAAAAGGTTCTTATTTAAGAAGCTTTAACTTTGTCTTCTTATTTTAGTTTTTATTTATTTATTATTAGTAGGGGTTGTGGAAGATTAACCCAAAATGTATGTGTTGTATTAGTTTTTAGCTGTTTGGAGCAAATTATTGAGTTATTATATAATATATTTTGATTTTGATATTTTGATGTTTTGATTAAAGTTAAAATGTTAAAATGACGAATTTATTATAATTTTGGCGAATTTATCAATAATCAAATTACAAATAATAATAATAATAATAATAATAATAATAATAATAATAATAATAATAATAATAATAATAATAATAATAATAATAATCCAAACAAAATAATATACAAAATAAAATTAAATTTAAAATTAAAAATAATAAAAAGAAGACAAAAGGGATCCACGGGCTCCATTTGTAAATAATGCTAGATCATTTTGATCCCACATTGAAAATGTTTGGAAAGATGAGTTCTTGAGCTCCTCATCCCACATTGAAAATGTTTGGAAAGAGGAATTCTTGAGCTCCTCTTACAAACATAATTGTTTGACCATCAATGTGGGCAAGTATTGAGGAGTCCAAATGCTCATGTTTTATTTTTGAGTACTATTGACCCGACAAATTATGATGTGAAACTATGTCCACCTTGCATGGTAGACACGGTTCCAAAATTGTTCATAATTATGAATATATAGTTCTATAATTATGAATTATGAACATATAGTTATGTAATTATGAATATAGAGATTCAATAATTGTGAATATGAAGTTCAAAAATTATGAATATATAACTTTATAATTATGAACATATAATTAAGTAATTATGAACATATAGTTTTGTAATTGTGAATATAGAATTCAATAATTATGAATATGAAGTTCAAAGATTATGAATATATAGCTTTATAATTATGAACATATAATTCAGTAATTATTAACATAGAATTGTGTCCACCTTGCAAGGTGGACACGGTTCCACAACATAACTATTCGATTGACCTGTTACATATAATATATGTTCACCTATTGAAGCCCAACGAGTCAAAAGACTATTATTTAATAAACCTTATCTTAGTGGCTTCTTATTTTAGTTTTTTTTTTAAAAAAAAAAAATTATTAGGGGTTTGGGAAAGATTAACCCAAAATGTAGATGTATTGGTTTAGTTTTTAGCAGTTTGGAGCAAATTGCTAAGTTATTAAATAATATGTTTGGTGTTTTGATTAAATATAAAATGTTAAACATTTGAATTTGTTAAAATTTTGTCGAATTTGCCAAATAATCAAATTACAACAACACGACGACGACAACAACAACAACAACAACAACAACAATAATAATAATAATAATAATAATAATAATAATAATAATAACCCAAATAAAATTAAAATTAACAAAAAAAAAAAAAAAAAAAAAAAAAAAAGACAAAGGGGAGCCCGTCCCTTTGTAAATGATATGAGATTATTTTGATCTCACATTGAAAATGTTTGAAAAGATAAGCTCTTGAACTCCTCTATATAAGAGGTACAAACATAATTGTTTGTCCATCAATGTCGCAAGTATTGAGAAATTAAAAGGTTCTTATTTAAGAAACCTTAGATTTGTCTTCTTATTTTAGTTTTTATTTATTTATTCATTATTTATTATTTATTAATTATTAGTGGGTTGGGAAAGATTAACCCAAAATGTATGTATTGTTTTAGTTTTTAGCAGTTTAGAGCAAATTATTAAGTTATTAAATAATATTTTTGGTGTTTTGATTAAAGATAAATTGTTAAAATGACGAATTTGTTAAAATTTTGGTGAATTTTTCAATCTCAATTTTTTAAAATTGTCAATAATAATAATAATAATAATCATCATCATATAATCATCCAAACAAAACGATATACAAAATAAAATTAAAATTAGAAAAATAAGAAGAATGATGTGGGATCATTTTAATCTCATATTGAAAATGTTTGGAAAAATGAGCTCTTGAAAATGTTTACAAACATAATTGCTTGCCATCAATGTGGGCAAGGAGTGAGAAGTCCAAAGTTTTTTTTTTTTTTTTTTTTTTTTTTTTTTTTTTGTTTAGAAGTAAATGAATATTAAAAATAGAAAGAAAATATTTCAATAATAATATTTCACATCATGAAGGAGTAAATGCATATTTTTAAAAATAGTAAATGTAAATTAAAAATGGAACGAAAATATTTCATTAATAATATTCTACATCATCAAATTTAAATGTAACGGAAATTAGGTAAAAATATTAATACATCTATATTCTAATTGACTGAAAATAAAAAAAATAATTGACTGAAAATAAATCTAATATTACTAATTGACTGAAAATTTTAAAAGGAAATGAATATTAATAATTGACTGCAAATAAAAAAATGCTCCATAATTGACTAAAAAAATGACCAGATCATTGCATTTTAATTAAAAATGGAATGAAAATTAAAAATTGGAGAAAAATATTTCAATAATAATATTCTACATTATCAATAGTAAATGCATATTTTAAACAATAGTAAAGGTGAATTAAAAATGAAACGCAAATATTTTAATAATAATATCTACAATTCTACATCATCAATTAAAAATGGAACGAAAATTAGGTAAAAATATCACTACATTTGATATTCTAATTGATTAATTGACTGAAAATAAAAAAGAATAATTGGCTGAAAATGAATCCGATATCACTAATTGATTGAAAATATAAAAGGATAACTAATCGAGTAATATTCTACCATTATATATTTTAATCCAAGTAATCCGTCCTGATGGATTGAAGGTGTTAGCTCTAGACGAAGATGAATAGGATTGTGTTGTCACTACCAATGTCGTCTACAAAGAGGTTTCAATAATGTGTAAATATAATCGGTGATATTAAGTTTTTTTTTTAATGAAAAAATTGTTATATATCTGGACAAAAAAATATATCTTCCATACAAATGAATAAGGATACCAATTCATTTCTATAACTGAGTTGTTAGAGAACGAGCACATTTTACTAATTTATGAAAATTCTAAACAATGATAAATAAAATCTTCAAAGTTATAGCACCGTATGCGTACATCTAGACATTAGCTATTAATTTGAGCAATTATTTGCACAAATTCAAGCAATGATACCATCAAAATATATAAACGATCCAAACCATATATTTAATTGCACTATATAATATTTGATGTTCTAATTTAAATAATTATATATCGATTCATATATTCTTAATATATTACAACAAATCAATTCTGTGCATCGCACGGGTGCAAATACTAGTATATAATAAAAAAATTTATCCGTGCATCTTACGTGTAATTTACTAGCTTAGTTAAATAAAAAGTAATTGTTGAGGGTTAAAAAGGAAGAAATAATATTAAAAATGAATACATTATTGATGGAGGACAACTGTCACACACCTAACCGACACGTGCAGGCAAGCAAACACGCTAGTGGTGGCACGTGCCATGCACCTAGGGCATTTATTATCCGAAGAGAACCGTCTTTTTAGTAAATAAATATTCCCCTCCCCAGCCATTTCTCCCATATTCTGAAGAGAACCGTTTCTCCGAAAAATAAAATTTCCTCTTCCCCAACCCTTTCCCACATCTTCCGCCGTCTCTCCGGAAAATAAATTTCTCTCTCCCCCAAACCCTTTCTCACATCTTCGGAAGAAAACCGTCTCTTCAAAAAATAAATTTCTCTTTCCCCCAACTCTTTCTCGCATTTTCCAAAGAGAGTTGTCTCTCCCGAAAATAAATTACTCTCTCCCTCAACCCTTTCGCCATCGTTTTCTCATTTTCTCCATTTTTTCTCTCCAAATTCGAAATCTCTAAAAAATCAAACCCTCTCCCCCCTCCCCCCAAAAAAAAAAAAAAAAAAAAGAAAGAAAGAAGAGGAAATCTAGTAGAAACAACAAAAGAGGAAAAATGATGGCAGGAACAACCACGTTTTACGCATGATGAGTATCAATTACTTTGTAAATCAAATCTACCCTTCAAAGTAGCAACTAGCAAGGGGAATTGGGATTTGGGAGGGAAAAGGCAGCCCACTCGCAAGAGACCGCCGCGTGAAGTTCCAGCCGCAGCAGATCCAGTGAGCGCGCTCACAACAGAAATACAAATTTTTTTGTCACACAGGTTTCTCACTCCCCTCTGCTCCTTCTCCAATTTTTTCTTCTTCTCTGTCAAAATTTCTCTCTCTCTCCATTCTCGTCTATCTGTGATCATCATTATATCGTGCTCTTTGATGTTCAATTCCATCCCTTGTCCGTGTGACCGTGTTTCATAAGTAAAGGAAGTTCGTAATTCTAGTATATGACTTGTGAGAATTATTTCGTGATATGTAATCTAATCATTTGTTTGCAAATGCTTGAAGTCTGAATGTTAAGTGGTATGCTCAAATGTTTAATCCAGAATTGGATGATGCTAAATGTGTTTGTTATAAGAACCTGCAAGTGATCTGACATGTTTTTGCCTTTTTTTTTTTTTTTTTTTTTTTTTAATTTTAAATTTCAGTTCAGAGTTCGCAGAGTAGATAGAACTTAGAACTTATCATGGATAAAGAGGACAAAAAAACAAATGGTGTTGTTAATTTGGTTAACAATGAAGAGAGGCCTGACCACGGTGCTGATGAACTGGGAGGAGATTTGGTGGATTTTGAGGAGAATATAAATGGTGAAGATGGGGGTGACTTGTATTCTCCAGATCAATCTGATTTGGGGGAGTTTAAAGACGATGTAAACCTCGAGCCACTAGATGGTATGGAGTTCGAATCACATGGGGAAGCATTACTCTTCTATCAAGAATATGCGAGGTCAATGGGGTTTCAAACGGCAATACAGAACAGCCGCCGTTCAAAGTCCTCGAGGGAGTTCATCGATGCTAAATTTGCGTGTTCTAGGTATGGAACAAAGCGAGGAAATGATAAATCTGCAAACCGCCCCCGTAGTAGTCAGGATCCAGAAAATGGTGGAGGTAGAAGAGTGTGTGAAAAGACAGATTGCAAAGCGAGTATGCATGTTAAGCGAAGATCTGATGGGAGATGGATTATACACAGATTTGAGAAAGAGCATAACCATGAGCTTTCACTTCCCCAAGCTGTCACTGAACAGACAAAGAGGATGTATGCTGCAATGGCAAGGCAATTAGCTGAATTCAAAAATGTTGTTGGCACAAAAAGTGACTCCAAAAGTTCCTTTGAGAGAGCCCAGAATTTGGCTATGGATGCAGGGGAGGCAAATATTTTACTGGAATTCTTTATTCAGATGCAAAGTATGAATTCCAACTTCTTTTATGCAGTCGACGTAAGTGAAGATCATCGACTGAAAAACTTTTTATGGGTTGATGCCAAAAGTAGACATGATTACGCACGTTTTAGTGATGTTGTGTCATTTGATGCTACATATGTCAGAAACAAGTATAAAATTCCTTTAGCTCTATTTATTGGGGTGAATCGTAACTATCAGTTCGTGTTACTTGGAACTGCATTGCTATCTGATGAAAGCTCTGCAACACTTTCTTGGGTAATGCGGACATGGCTGAGAGCAATGGGTGGTCGAGCTCCGAAAGCCATAGTCACTGACCACGAACACGTTATGACATCAGTTATCTCAGAAATTTTCCCATCATCCCTTCATTTCTTTTGTCTTGGAAAGGTCTCAGAGAGTCTGAAAAATGTTGTGATGAAGCAGAATGAGGAGGAATTTATGGTGAAGTTTGAAGAGTGCATTTTCGGGCCATGGACCGACGAGGAGTTTGAAGAGAGGTGGCAAAATCTTGTCAATACATTTGAACTCAGAGAAAACGAATTGTTATGGTCATTGTATGAAGAGCGCAGAAAATGGGTACCTACACTTATGAGGAGCAATAATGCTGCATTTTTAGGTGAAAGTGTGAACTCTTTCTTCGACAAATATGTGAATAAGGAGACCACACTGCAAGAGTTTGTGAAACAGTATGGAGTGATTCTACAAGATAGGTACAAAGAGGAAGCGAAGGCAGATTCTGATACTACAAGGTATCCTCCGCTAGCTGCATCTGGAGAAAAGAAGTGTAGAGTTCAAAGATACAATGATCTATGCCAAAGAGCAATGAGATTGAGTGAAGAAGGATCATTATCTCAAGAGCGCTATACATCTGCTTTACATGCACTTCATGAAGCTTATGGGAATTGTGTGAATCTTGAGAGTTCAAATAAGATTAACCCTGTTGGTACTTTGACTTCATCCACTCCTGGTGATCTGTTTGTAGAAGGAGATAACCAAACGAGTAAGACAAATAAGAAGAGAAGTAGTCCAACCAAAAAAAGAAAGGTATGTTAGTTTTAAAATGTGATACTTATCTCATTTTAAACTATTACTCCATCCTACTTGTCATGTTGAAGACAAACTGCAAAATGTTGTAATAATCATACAAATTTCTAGATTTTGATGCGGTCTTTCTTTGTGTCCAGGAAGAACCAAAGGTGATGAGGTCTTCATCACAATTGAATGATGAGGCTCCAAGGCATGCCTGAGAGGCTTCCAATTAATCCTGCAGAATGAAGGTCCTTGCCTGCGTCAGAGAGATTGCTCCAACTTAAGAGCGAAAAGGCCAAAGGGAAACGGGAGAATTTAATGAAGGAAGAAGAAACAAACAAATTAAAGGGCAAATAGACAAAAGAACTTGACACAGAGGTTGAAAGAAAATCGGATTTTTAGTACAAGAATTGACTCTTCAAATTATATAGCGCACAAGGACGCATAATCCATTGTGTGCCTCGACCAAAACGACTTCATTTTCTAGTTAATTTTTAAAAGTAAAAGAAAAAAAAATTATATTTCCAAGGTACATAATTGTATAGTAGAATACACATAAACTCCTAACATAATACATAATACGCATAAACTCTTAACGTAATACATAATACGCATAAACTTTTAACATAATACATATCAACTCTTAACATAATACACATAAACTCTTAACATAATACACAGAAATTCTTAACAAAATACACATAAATACAAGTGTTAAAAAAATTGTAACGGGATTGGTTTAAGACTTTACTAAAACCGATTGAAAACTATGATTATTAAAAATCAGAGGTTACCTAAAGTTCTAAACCAATTAAATCGATTGAAACCAAAAAAATAACAAAAGAAAGATATGAAAAGACAAAATTACCCTTACTAAAAATAGGAAAAATCACGAGAAAGACTACAAAAATATTCAAAAAATAATAATTTGAGATGTTAAATGATAAAAACGATAATATAGACTAAATTTAAAATTATCACAAAAAATAAGGGACCTACAGTGCAATTAACTCTTAAAAAAATATGGAGTATAAATTATAAATAAATAAAAAGAAGAGAGAGAGAGGGGGAAGGAAGCAGATTAGCGGATGATGAAATCATCTTCCATTGGACTGAAGGTCTGAAACACTACAAAATTGTAGGGCTCGAAAATCTGCCTGCGAATCACTTCAAAGAGACAGCGATCACGAGGTACGCATTTTCTCCCACTCTCTCACCACGGAGTATACATTTTCAGAGTACTGGTTAACGAAGAGCTACAGTTTGATTTTTAGAAGGTGTTCTCCGTTGTTTTTCCGTTTCCTCTGTTGTTATCTCTGAATGCACAACAATTTCGTTTACGATTACTGATGAATTTATCTTTCCGATATTAACTTGTAGCAGTAACTGCCGTTTTGCGCTTATCTACCCCAAAAAAGGGTTAGTATAGTCTAATTAATGCTATAACTGGTACTTATTTTGGATTGAGCTAAGAAACCTCAAGCGTTTAGCGGAAATGAACAAAGGTTTTTAAAGCAAACCTGTTAATTGCTTGCTTTGTGATATATATAAGTTCTTAATTTGTATAGGGAATGACTTGTGGTTATAAATTCAAACACTATTCAGTTGAAGTCATTTTTCCCCAGCTGTTGCTTACAATGATCTGATATTCTGATTTCAACTTTATTATATGACATGATTTCAAGACAGTTTATACAAGGTGAGGAATTGTTCTCTCTATGGAAATTGATCTTGAGCTGCCTTCACGGGTAGATGAAAAGCTAGACTCTGTAACTGCTACTACTGATGCAAATGCAGTTCTTGAAGAGGGTGAAAATGTTGATGGGGTTGGAGATTTTATGGATGGCGATAGTATTAGCCTTGCAGGTAAGGGTATGATTAGTTATGAGCCTCGGAAGGATCTGGAATTTGAAACGAAGGAGGCAGCATATTCATTCTACAGGGAATATGCAAGGTCAGTGGGATTTGGTATTACGATAAAAGCCAGTCGCCGGTCAAAAAAGTCTGGGAAATTCATTGATGTGAAGATTGTGTGTTCTAGGTTTGGGACTAAACGTGACTCAGATAAGGCGGTAAACTCACGGTCATGTCCTAAGACAGATTGCAAGGCAGGTATGCATATAAAGAGAAAGCAGGATGGGAAATGGCATATATACAGTTTTGTAAAGGAGCATAATCATGAAATTTGCCCTGATGATTTCTATTATGCTATCAGGGGAAGGATCAAGCAGTCCATCAATGCACAGCACCAGAAGAAAGCATTGCAGTTGGCGTTGGATGGAGAGGACATACAGGCAATGCTTGATAGTTTCATGCTTATGCAAGGGGAGACTCCAGGATTCTACTATGCTGTAGACTTTGACAAGGAAAGACGTATGAGAAATGTATGTTGGGTTGATGCAAAAGGCAGGCATGATTATGGGTATTTTTCTGATGTAATTTTCTTTGACACTACATATATTAGAAAGAAGTACAAGGTACCGCTTTTACCTATTGTTGGGGTTAATCATAACTTCCAATTATTGTTGCTCGGATGTGGTTTGATTGGGGATGAGACTTCATCAAATTACATTTGGTTAATGCGCACGTGGCTTAGAGCAGTGGGTGGCCAAAGTCCTAAAGTAGTCATCACCAATGACAACAACTCCCTACAAGAGGCTATAGATGATGTCTTTCCAAATGCACGCCATTGTTTTTGTTTGTGGCATGTAATGGAGAAAATTTCACATCACCTAAGTCATAAAATGCATAATTTTGAAGTTTTTCTAAGGAAGTTTAACAAATGTGTATATCAACCATGGTCAGAGGAATGTTTTGAAAAGAGATGGTCGGACAAGATTGTTGATGCATTTGAACTCAGGGGAGAGGAATGCATGGGGTTTCTATTTGAAAGCCGTAAAAAATGGGTTCCAGCTTACATGAGGGGTACTTTTCTAGGAGGACTCTGCACAGTTGAGCGCTCTGAAGGTATTTCCTCTTTCTTTGACAACTATATTCACAAGGAAACTACATTCAAGGAGTTCATTGATCATTACAAAACATTTTTGCATGACTGTTATGAAGAGGAAACCAAGGCAGATTTTGAAACTAAATATAAGCAACCTACAATAAAATCTGTCTTCCCTTATGAGAAACAAATGTCTACTGTCTATACACACGCTGTGTTCAAAAAATTTCAATCTGAGGTTCATGGAATGGGTAGCTGTGATGTTCAGAAGGAAGGTGAAGATGGAAAAACAATGTTATACAGGGTTGATGATTCTGAAAAGCAGCAGAAGTTCATAGTAGCTTGGATTGAAAGACAATCCAATGTCTATTGTTCATGTCATTCATTTGAATATAGAGGTTTTCTTTGTAGACATGCAATGAAAGTTCTTCAAATATATGGGATGTCCAGCATCCCACCTCAGTATGTATTGAAACGGTGGACCAGAGAGGCAAAGATTAGGGAGACAACATCTAGACTACCTAGCAGTCCCCATTACAGGGTTCAACGACTTAATGATCTTTGTAAACTCGCTGTTAAATTGGGAGAAGCAGGTTCTTTATCCTTGGAAAGCTATAACATTGTCCTATATGCGCTAGAAGAAGCAATGGAACATTGTGTTGGTGAGAATAACTCTGCTAGAAGTTCTTTAGAAAACAATATATTGTCAACACAAAATCTTCCGTGTATTGACATAGAGAAGCAGGGTAGTGGTACAGCAAAGCGATTAAAGAAAAAACAATTGCCTAAGAAGCACAAGGTAGTCCAATAGCTAAACTACTAGAATGTTATTCAAAGGGATTTATTAATTGTTTGAGTGTTGAAGGTAGATATTGTCCAATTTTATAGGTACAATCTGTTACTGAAGAAATATCTAGTGGGGTCCAAGACAGCAACCAACAGGTGTTACATATTTTAGATTTTTACTCTGTCTGAATAAAGAAGTTCTTATATAATAAGTTCAATGGTGTTATTTATTTGATTTATTATAATGTCATTCTTTTTAAATTGTAACTAACCTAAAAAACACTACATTTATAAATGGTGAATATAGAAACAATCAATTAAATTAAATGCCCAACAAAACATTACTATTTACTTAATCTGTGTGTTTTCTCTTGCATGACAATTGTTGTGGCTGTGTACAAATTTGCATCTACTGAGCAGAAGTTTACTCATTTGCTTTGTTGTGGCATGTTTATAGGAGTCATCAAACCCAAGAGAACAAACCCTTGAAAGTTCCTATGTTGCTTTCCTAGACATGCAAGGGATGGTATGTCATTCCTACACTGACTACAATATTGCAAAGCAGATATTTGCTTATGAGTAATTGAATAATCTAATGATATTTCATATATTGCCATAGGAGTTAGGCTCCAGAACTCCAGTTACTGATGGCTACTATTCTACTCAACAGAGCATTCAAGGACTGGTTGTGTATCTTTATCACACACCTTTTAAAATACTTGTTCATAAATTTTGATATCTGTGCCTAACATTTTGGAATTTGTGTGGTTTTTATTTATAGGGGCAACTGGCTTCTCTGCCTATGCTACGGGAAGGCTATTACTACAATCAGGGCATGCAGGGAATTCTGGTATGAAGTCTTTCATTATTTGGAGCTTGATGCTGAGAAAATGTTTGGGGTGTGCACTTAATCTATGATAGCCCCTTTTGAAACAATATAATATGAATGGCACTGAGCTAAACATCTGAAGCCATAAAATACAATAGAATGTTTTCGAATAACTTGACCAATTAAATGCAAAATCTGTGATGCAAATTTCCTACCCTTTTGTAGCAGGGAAATTTGAATTCAATAGCTACACGTTTGAGTCATTATCCCATCCAAAGCTTTCAAGGAATGGTATTGGATTTCTTTAGTTTCAAGAAACCAATATTGCCTAGTTTGTAAACTATGTGCAACTCTCAGCTCACACTAATTTGCAGTTGCAGGGACAGCTTGGCTTTAGAGCAGCAGCATCCATGCATGGTGGTTTTGAGATTCAGGATGGCTTGCTAGATATGGTATGCATGCCTTGTTTTAATGCTTGTTATTCCGCAGTCATTCTATAAGTTTTTTAATTTAGTTTTCATTTTTACTGCAGGGAAATTCTATAAATTCTGCTGGAAAACAAGATAAGCATTTTTCAAGGTAGTAATTAATCTCTCCAAATCCAGACATAAAGATGACTTAAAAGGGATTCCATGGCTTAGTTTCAAGATTAGAGACCTAGTACTAAATCCCATTGCTCCCATCCTCCTGTTGATATATGTAGTGTAAAAAAAGTACGTAAATGTTGTTGATAAGAAGAAGAAGAAGAAAGTGCAGAGAGGAGGTTTCGATGGTGGAGCGGGTGATGGGCTGATGGTTTTAGACTTCTTGGTTGCATTTACTTCAAATTCTTCACTTTTCTATTATCCACTTTCAAATGTATAGTAAACAAGTTTTCTGATTTGGTTTCTCTACTTTAAAAAAAAAAAAAAAACTCTAAAAAATGAAGAATTTATATGATTAGTAAAACTGACATTTGCAGCCGTGACTGCCGTGCGCAGTGAGACAACGAGTCTAGGACGGACAAGCAGAGCAAAGATGACATGGAACGCTGAGGGCCGCAAGGTTTTAGGTTTTTGGTAGGCCTGAATCTAGTGCAGAAAATTTTGGATTATGTCCTTCATTATGACACACTTTGCTTTTCGATCTTGAATTCTTGATGGATGGCGTTTAACTGTTTCACCACGCCACTCTACCTCCATTGATAAGGTTGCACACTAGTGTTTAACACTATTTTCGGTCGAACTCTTTGCACATAGTCTTTTTTAGTACGATTTGCTTCTCAATTCTGGTCTCCTGAATATTACGGAGTGGATTGTATAAGTGTACATTTTCAAATAATGATCGCAAAATCCAAAATGACTTGTTTTTTTAGCACCCTTTAAATTTTATGGGATTTGAAAAGTCAGGCAAGGCAATGAAAATGAAAGAGAAAAAGGCAAGAGGTAGGAAGGTGAAGCTTGCTCCCTGATGTTAACTGTACGTAATGGAGACCGGAATTAGAATGTAGAAAACGAAGACAAATTAGGCACTAGACTCCAAAAGTCAGATCAAAGTCATCCTTTTCACCAACCACCATTCTCTCCTTAAATCCTTAAACCTATCCCACAGACAACAAACCAAGAATAATCTCGTTGCCGGCGTCTCCACTCCAATTACCCTCAAACGTCATGCCTTTCATCCTTTTTTTTTTTGCTTCTAGAATACCCTCCCCTTCATGTTACTTCCTCGAACCTGCACACCACTCTTAAAACTCCCTTTTCATTTTACCTTTCCTCCACTCAATTCTTTCCCATCAAGATTATCTGTATCTAGTAGTCATATGTAATTTTGGTCGTTGATCATGTTTTGTTGCATTTCATTCAATAGTTTTATTTCTTAGGCAAAAACTTGTGTGACAGCGTTTCACAGAGACAGGTCGAGTTAAAATCAAATGTAATACTTATACTGGAAAAAGTAATAGCAATGAGAAATAAAATCTTCATTACTTATATGGAAAAATGTAATATTTTTGAAGAAAAATGTAATACTTTTACATTTAAAAATATTTTTTCTTTATAAGTAACACACAAGTGTGAACCTATTTCTTAAGGTTCAAACGGAATATCTTATTTTTTAAAAAATAATTTTAACTTTGACTTTTCTTTCTTTTTATATTTTTCTTAATACATTATTTTTTATCAAGATTATCCGTCTCCCGTAATCATATCTAACTTTGGTTGTTATCCTGTTAAGATTTTGTTGCCCTTCATTTGAAAGAGTTTTTCTAAATTTTTTATTCATTATTCTCAAGGTTCAAACCCAAGATCTTATTTAAGAAAAACTATGACACTTTAATTATCCGTATCTAGTAGTCATATTTAACTTTGCTTGTTACACAATTGAGCTTTTGTTGCACTTCATTTTTTTTTTTTTTGGGTCCCTTGGTCTTAAGGCTAAAACCCAGTATCTTATTTAAGAAAATTTGTTATCATACTTTGATTACATATTTACATATCATTAATTTGTTTTTCAATACATTCATTAAGTACAAAATCCAACTACCATTCTCAACTAATGGGAGATTAAATATCCTCTTTTGTAGACAAAACTATTGTCTATGGTAGTTAAACTCCTATCTTAAACTTTTGGACCAAACATATCATTCGTGTGGACCTTTTACGTTCAACACACTTAACAACAATACTTCATTATCTTCTTGAATTTTTATTTTACATTTCAAATTAGCCTGTAATATAAAACATGTAAATGTATTAAATTTATATCATTAAAAAAAAGCTCAATTATGCTCGATAATTACTCACATTAAGTATTAAGAAGTTCATATTTGGTTACTTGAACTATTCAAATTCAAGCACAATTCGCTAGTAATCGAACTGAATTCAAACATTAATTGTTTTAAATATAGTGACAACTCCAACTAAATTGATCGATAGTATTACAAGATTTTAAGTTTGATTTATTGTGAGAACAGCAACCTATTGACGTTGCTGATTTATCTCATACGGACTAAATTAATTTATTTCATACAATGATTTTCATTCCGATCACATTTTTGAGATACTTTTACACACCTAGTTATATATAAATAACCTATATAATCAATAAAGTATTTCGAAGGATGTAAATTAGGGTAACTCAACAGCTCAACAGACAAGATCAAGTGCCAGTGTGCACAACGGATCTACCCACACACCTGTATAGCCAATGTGTTACGGTCAAATGTCAGTGCACAAGGAATCTGCTCACACACCTGTATAGCTCATGTGTTATTTTCAAATGTCAGTGCGCACAAGGGATCTGCCCACACACCTGTATAGCCAATGTGTTCCTGGTGTTGGACGACAAAATAAAGTTCTCCTAATCCAAACCCGCCACCACGGGGCAAAGAAAGGCCGGCGTCGGTCTGTCGGCCGGCCGGCCCACCACCACATGCCAAAGGATTTCCGCCGCAGACCCACGTGCTTTATCACGTGTCGTCTTCTCGCCAAACAATTCAAACAAGAGTCGCCATCACCCCTGCACCCTTGCCTCCATTCAAACAACTCGAGAAACTTTGACTTTTTCTCCCTTTCCACTATAAATATTTCTTATCACCCTATCCTTACAACCTTTAATTTTCTTCTCTACTCAAACTCTTCACTCTCTCATCAATTTCACTTTAGGGTTTTATGGCCATGAGTGAAACCATGCCACCGGGGGGGCCGACTGATTGGGCGCAGTTCTATCAGCATAACTTAGCTCACGCGCCGCCGCCTCCGCCGCCGCAGCAGCAGCAGCAGACTAACTTCTTTGGTGGCGGTAGGGTGTCTGAATCCACGGTGGTTACCACCACCGTGACTTCCCCTACGGCGCCGCCCTCGCTGGGGCAGCTGAGCCCCGAGGGGCTGGTGTCGAAGCCGGCGCGCCGCCGCACCAGGGCTTCCCGGAGGACGCCGACGACGGTTCTCAACACCGACACCGCCAACTTCCGCGCCATGGTGCAGCAGTTCACCGGCGGCCCGGCCCTGGCCCAGCAGGCCCAGTACCCAATCCCCAGCGGCTCGAACCTGAGCTTCGGGTTCGGGCTCGCCAGCAATCTCCCTCACCACCAGCACCTCGTGAATCCTACTCCGGCGAGAACGACGGGCGGCTACCAGCTTCAGTTTCAGCCGCCGCAAGGCGGCGGCGGCAGTGGCAGCGTCGGTGTCGGCGGCACCTACATGCTCGCCTCCTCGAACCAGCAAAGAGACGGCGGCGGCTTTCTCCACCGCCCCAACGGCGCCATGGGGCTCGGAATCTCAACCTCCGACGACCATATAACCACCCTGGACGGCCATTCATTCCCGCTCCACACTCACAGAGGATCTTCCTCCTCCTCCGGGAACGACAACCGGAATGAAACCAACAATTACATGTTTTAAAAACATTAAACATCGATCTTGAAAACAAATCAAAGGTCGTCGTCGTCATCATTGACAAAACATGTGCAGGCTAGACGGTGCTGACTTTTCAAAAGCACGCCGCGCCGTTGGAATGATTAAAAAAACCAAACCCTCGTGTAAATGGACGACAAAGGTTACTATGTTTTCCGACGTATATGTCGGCGGCTAGACGTTCAACTTTTTTTTTTTTTACTACTTGTGCCCCTCGTTTTTTTCTTCCTTTATTCTTTAGCCTCCCTTTTATGCCCCTATGGCATTCCCTTAATTTACGTTGTTAAAGTTAACTAATTACCATAATCAGTGTTATGCTCTCACTTTCTTCTCCATTGTATTTTTAAAACATCCTTTTTTTCTAAAGGTTTTATCCAAAACATGGAAAATTTGCGGTCTTAATAAATACGTTACGTTAAATTATTGTCCCTTGTATCGACTCATGACCTCTGGTTTGAAGAGTCCCTTCGTGCCACTTAATCACACAGTCACATAATGTTTATGTTTACTATTCAAAAGCTCGCATTGATTGTTGTTATTCTTCTTAGCCTCGTTGTCGTTCTATGCTTTAAAGTTATATCTTGTAAAGTAAAATTTAAAGTGGTTGTCAGTTTACGGCCATTATGATGCACCCACTAGAGGCATAAGCCACTCCTTTGTGGTTCACCTTCAATAAAAAAACAATATTATATTTTTGTTCAAAAATTGTGCAATGCAGGAATTAACATACCAGCATTCTCTTGTTATCTTTCTCATTTAGATTATGTATAGTAAAATTCAATTGGTGACTATTAGGTCTGTTTTTTGGATTTTTGAGACCTGTTTATGTAATAAATAAATGAGTTATTACAAAAAATATAAGTACAATGCTTAAAATCAAACTATAATAAACCAACCAATTTATTATCTCCAAAGTCTAAACAAACAGATCAGAAAAATAAAACAAAACAAAAACATCTTAAAACTACTTAGCTAGTGACTACCTGTTGAAATGCCGGTATCGTTTGGAATGCAAGTAGAACGATGTGTTAGGGGAAAAATTAATTTCTCAGACGGTATTGATAGTGAACTGGTGAATGGTACATCAGTACATGTTTCAAATTATCTCTACAAATTCCAAATTTGAGATATCATCTGTGCCGTTGAAAAAACAAAACGATTTTGCCCGTGGTAATTAAGTATCTTGATGAACCCCTATGCGGACAATTAAATTACTCCCAGTTAAGTGAGGTACTTTGTTAATTTGCTTTTCTCAAAACTATGCAAAGTAAAGTTTAACAGGGAAACCCGGCCCTTCCATTCCTATCTCATATCTTGCCCACATGGCCACATCACTAAAATCCCACGCTGAGGGAAAGCCTTAAAACAACACGAAATTATGCAAGTTGTGTCTCACGTTGGAATAACATGTGAAAGAGCAGCCACCCAACAACAAACGTTTTAGAGCAGTCCCAACTAATATAGATTTGGAAGAGTTTTTACAGGTATGACTATAAAAGAAGATGACAAAAAAAAAAAAAAAACACCCGACAAGTACTGTGGTTGCACTTCACGCCATTAGGACGAGATTTTTTTTGATAGGTCTCACAATTCTGATAAAAATCAAGACTTTATAAGAAAATTCTTCACACTCTTCCTCCTCTACCTATACTTAAAAGCGGACAAAAACTTTTCAAAATCCAGTATTGTGGATGCTGGAATATTGTCTGATATTCCCTAGTTTCATTTTCGACTCCTTTAAGCAAAGCATAATACCACATATAGATCAGACTAAATATGAGAGAGAAAGAGAGAGAGATTGATGGTGTATATATTGATTGATTGATGTGAGTGAGAAATGGTTTCGGGATTTTGATAAGGGGGGCTGAATCGGAGCTTCTAATGGGTCCCACTTACGTGTAAAGACAATTTGTGGTGTTGGAATAAGTCTAACTTCCAGCTCTCTTGTTCGCCGCTGGATTTTATGCCCCTGACGTCACATCTATCCCTAGTCAATGTTATTATCATATATGGTGGTTTCATTACCCATTATTCTCCAATGGTCGAGTGTGATTTGATTTTTTTTTTTTTAATAATTTTGAAGTCTATGCGCGTTTTGTTTGATAGGAAACCAGTTAGCAATAATTAAATTCATAAGAGAATTATGCTTTATTCATTTGCTTTTTTTTTTTTAAGTAGTGAATTTATAATGATGAAACATATAGAATTCGAAAAATTATTTTTAAATCAGATTCAATAAATTAATTGAAATAATCAATTATTATGTAGCGTGATAACACTTTTATTCTGATTCCAAATGACTGGTTACATGATCAAATTTATATTATATGGGCATTGATTCTTTATGCTAAAAAAAAAATTAAGAAAATATATAACATATATTACCTTGTAAAAAGTTATAAGTGTTTAAAAAAAATTAATCAAAATGGATCGAGTTAAGTAAATTTTTTTAGTGATAGTAAAAATGCAATTGAACAACTCAATCAAATAATATATAATAGCTTCCTATTTGTCTAGACGGAGGTGGGAGATTGCCTCCCTTTCATTTCTTGGCAAATTTTACTATATATCATGGTCTATGTAGGATCATGGATTATAAAGTATGTATTATTTTAATTACACTTCAGTATTATTTGATAATATTGTTATGTTTTTTTTTTTTAATGTTTTTAGTTTCATTTTTTTATTATCTATACTGATTTTATTATAGTTATACTAAAGTATCATTTTAATTCTACTATAGTTTCATTTGATAATATACATTATTGCTTTAGCTCTGTTTTTTGTTTCATTTTTCACATACACTAGTTTAATTATAGTAATGTTGAAGTATTATTTTAATTGCATTTTAGGTCATTTGACAATATATTTTAGGCACAAGTGTCAAATAGACCCATCTACTACTCCGAAGTGCTCAATTCTCACCACGAACTAAATTAAGTGTCCAATAGACCTATTTACCAGCTAAATTTGTTCAACTGACATTTTTTACAGGTTGCCTATTTAATTATTAAAAATAAATAAATAAATAGAATAAAAATTTAAAATTTTTTTAAAAAAAAATTAAAAAATTATATATATAAAAGAATATCAGCCACTGGCGGTCTGACGAGGACAACCAGTGGCTGATATTTTTTTAAAATTTTTTTAAATTTTGTATTCTATTTATTTATTTATTTATTTATTTTTAATAATTAGATAGGCAACCTGTAAAAAATGCCAATCGAACAAATTTAGCTGGTAGATGGGCCTATTTGACACTTAATTTAGTTCGTTGTGAGAATTGAGCACTTCGCAGTAGTAGATGCGTCTATTTGACACTTGTGCCTATATTTTATTGTATCATTCTGGATTTTAGTTTCATTTTTCATGCACAATAATTTCATTATAGTAATACTTTTTTAGTACTTTTTTTTTTTTTTGAAAACGCTAAAGTGTCATTTTAATTATACTACTATTTTATACTTTTATTTGATAATAATGTGTTCTCTTATATCTTCTTAATTCGCTATTATGATACTCTTCATGGATGCCATGTTAATAAAAAAAGGATGGCGTGTCATGTCTACAATTATTATCGCGAATCATATTATTAAATAATGTACTTTTATTATATTAAATATGTATATTGTATTTAAAAAAGTATATTATTTTATATAATGTACATTTAATATACAAATAATGTCCTTTTAAGTTTTAATATATTAAAAATGTATTTTTTTATTATTATGATCTACATAGCACTGTGTGGATCATGATCCAAACAATAATTTGCACCATGGTCTATGTGCCAAATAATTAGAGGCAGTACAGTAGAGAAATTATTTTTAACATAGTGATTATCTGATTATACAATTTAGTTTAGTGATTCAATTTCGTTTTTATAATTTGTAAAATGACCAATTTAACCCTTATCCCAATAGAAATTATTGTTTCAACAAAGTTTATGGACCTTAATTTTAGCACATGGAAATTTATGGAGCATACATCAAGTCAATGTAGAATAGTCTAAAATATTCTTCCAGAATAGTCTAAAATATTTGTCTGTATGAGCAGTTTAACTAGTCGCAGGAATAAAATTTATCACAAATAATCAAAAATTGAGTCTCACCAACAGTAATGTAGAGTTTTATACCTTTTGTCACACGAATAGTCTAAAATTAGATAGATTAACTATGCAGTTCAAAACCACCAAATAGTTTTGACCAATGACTATTAAACGCATTGAAGAAGAGAATTGGAGTACTAAAAAAAAAAGTAGTGAATTGGAGTACACAATTGGTTGTCACTTCATAATTACAATAATAAATAAAATTTCTGTTTCAACTCATTAAACTTTTGAGTGATATATAATAATATTTGATTTACCATCAATGTATGTATAGAACTCGATCATTACATTATATTCAAGAAAGTAACGGTAGTTAGCAATCACTGATACCAATATTTAATTCACCATTAGTGCATAGAATTCGATGATTGTATTCAAGAGAGCAGTGGTAGCAACCACTGATCACCATTGATGAATGAAGTAGTAAGGAAAGGGAGGGCTTGGGAGTCATTTAGCCTTTGAGCGTACGCCACTCTCATCATCGTATTGGCTCCTGCGCCCGTACAGTTGTACTCTCCGTAGAATACCGTCCTACAATATAATAATGTTGTTTTAATCTTGTTAAATTAGCGTACATAAATACATAATCCGTAATTAATTAATTAATTAATTTAATCACTTAGTATTACGAAAGTGTTAAGGAAACGGTCGCGTACTGGTCTCTTGTAGGGTCATTGAAGTCATTCCAACCTTCGGGAGCGACGATATCTGTCATATAGGTGTTGGAGAAGATGACGGTGGAGAACGGCCGCCATGCACGGCCGAGCCAAATCCTGCCGGTGCCGCCCAAGCTGCAGTTCACAAATGCGAAGCCGCTGTCCTCCGCCTGGGAGTTTCGGCCGTGCGCCGTCACGGCGCCGTTAATTGACTTTGCTCCAGGGGGTACTGGGTTGGCTATGGATATCAACTGGCAATTCTGCGCATAGTATTTACGTGCGAGTTGAGTGTAAATATAGCATGTAAAATGCATGAGTGAAATTTGTAGTTAAGTTTTACGCCATTTTCGCCTTCCCAAATTGCACGGAGAGAAGACGGGCGTTTGTTTAGAGACGGTGCAAAATAAATTAAGGAAAACAACCCTAATGCCCGCAATGACAGTTAAGTTAGTTCTTAAATGGTAGATTATAGGTAAAAATATCATAAATCGAGCCTTGACTGTCACAGTGTGGAGTTATATTCAATGTGGTGGGTTTCTTGTGGACACCAAATCCT